GGGGGGTGGACCGAATCTGGCTTTATAATAATATTATTATAACGTGTCTTTTTTGGGGAAACGAAAAAAGTCAAATCAAAAAGAATTTGTACAGCACAAATTACAATCATTTCAAAAAGCATCCGTTGTGTTTCTGGTGCTTTGTCGCCAAATACTCAAACAAAAATCGCCATTTTTTGTCATAATTACAAGCAACATAGCAGGGCTAACCATTTTTGACTTGCATGTTAAAGAACAAACGTTAAAAAGGAATTTCTGAATGAAAAAAAAGCGTTATTTATGTATATTCATATATGTATAGATAATATATAATATATATATAGGTCAAATCTTTTGTGTATACATAATATTATATGCATATCAATTAGTGAGAAAAAGAGAAATCCAACCAAAACAAAGATGTATCCATCTACGTACAAATATAAACTTGCTATATTATATGTTCATGTGTGTGGACAGCGCTAGCCAATGACACTTCATCAAAATATGTATCTACTCCTTCTTTCTTTCTTCTCTTTCCTACTGCTCTCAGTCACTCCGACTTCTGTGCTATCTTGCTCTTCAGTATTGCATACACCTAAAGGAACTCAACTGCGTTGATGAAACAGGGCTGACTGAAAACTTAGACAAATGAAGGAGAATAGTGTGACAATCGTTCTAGAAATTTGTGGCAAACGCTAAACAACAATGATTGAAAACCTGAGATCAGTTAGTATTGTCTCTGTATGAGTGAGGGTATGTGTGTGTGTTTGTGTGTGTGTGTGTGTATGTGTGTGTGTGTGTGTGTGTATGTGTGTGCTTATGCGAGTAGATCGTGAGTATTGGTGTGCGCGCGTATGGGTGTATGAGTTATTGATAGGGTATTTTTTATAAGGGGAGGGGGGGGGTGGTGTTCGTGTGATTAGGTATGTGCGTGTGTATGCGTGTGGGGAGGTTGGGGGAACGAATGCGTATTATTCGAGTGTGTATGCGTGTCTGTCTGTTTTTGTAGAGATGGCATCGTAGGCCTGTCCACTCACCGAGGCACCTATTTGGCTACACGTTACGAATCACGACGCTTCCACAATATTATCAAGCTAAAACAAACCAACAAAAGGCTGTCAGGAAATGATAAGAAGTAATGCACTTAACAGTGAAATTAATTAAAACACAGAACGAAAAGAAACAACAAGCATGCTCAAACCAACAAACACCACGAGAAATGATGTTTTTAAAAAGCCAACGGGCTCTTCAAAATGTTAATCATAAATAAGATAGAATGCATCAAACCACTAGATACAATGATACCAGGCAGGTCAAACGCTGTTTAATAATAATAATAATAATCAATTAGAACACGCGGTAATAATTCTTTACAAACGCATTAAAATCAATTATAATAAAATTATAATAAAAACAAACAACACAAAAAAACACTCAATTATGGCACAATATTGACGCGTCTCTGGGCGTGTGTCGAGTGTGTGTCGGCAAGGCTAGTAGCACACAACGTGTAGTAGTGTGTAACTTTCCCCCTCTACAGAGCTTCTTCAGGGCAGCAAAGCTAAACTCCAACAAAGGAAAGCTCAGCGGCACTTTTTGAAAAACTCTGAAAAGTGACCACGAGAAACGAAACAATTAAAAATTGCTAACTGCTTGCTGCACGCTCCCAGGCGAGGCGGCTGCTGTTGCTGCTGTTCTACCACTCGGTGACACTCCCAAAACACGGCGTGTATCACAATACAAGTCCGCCCTCATTGGTTGTGGATCGCTCGCGTACTTGAAGCATTCACACTCCTCAATACATCAATACGACATGTATTGCAGAACCATCTCTCTCTCTCTCTCTCTCTCTCTCTCTCTCTCCCGTCCCTATATTATGGCAAGCTATAGATCACATTATACAGTCGTTAAAACAATTACAAGAGAAAACTATACACTAGGGGGAGGAAGTGAGGGGGGG